GCAAGCAGGTGCCACTCCTTCAAAGTCAGTGGAGAGATGCTAATTTACACCAATGGAGAATCTGACATAATATGTTTTTTTATTTGCTTGAGTCCTGCCGTGGCTCCATAAGCAAAGGTTAATGCAGGTCTGCCAGGGGCAGGCTGGAGTTAACGCAGAAAGGCAGTTGTGAGGTTGCTGATTCTGATAAAAGCAAATAGTGAACTGCAAGCATCTGAGTGTTGAGTGTCACATTCACACCTAACTGCTGCCCTTGCCTGTTCCCCACAGTCATCCAGCTCTGTCATCATGATATGTTCCTGAAACCACATTTGTGCTGCTGTCACTTTTTGTCTTTGGAAATTTGTGTACAGGCTTTCTATAATGATATACTAAAAATTCTTGTAAACTTCAAATGAGTGGATTACAATATGTTTAACCCAGAAAAATAATTTCCATATATTAGGCAGAAACTTGAGTCTTTACTTCTTCTAATTCTGCACTTGCAGTAGGGATGTTAATACTGATAAAAAATATAGGAGGTGCCTGATAGGTGAGGGCAGTGAGGAGTTTGTTCTTTTAATGAAAAAAAAAAATTAGGAACCTCATTCTAGATCTCTGTGCCTTTAATGTCACAATGTCTCTGAAGAGAAGTCAGACATCTCCATAGGGTTGCCCATCTTCTCCACTTCCACCAGTCCTCTTTGACTGGGAACAAACTAGTTCTGACTATCAACAGAACCATGGCATCTCTAGAGTATTTTTGTTTGTGTTTCAGTAGTGGGCAATGTCAGCACTGTCAACATGTCAACAATTAGTGGCACAGATGTAAAAGATAACACGAGGACAGATTTTGAATGTCACACCCAGGCCCCTCCAGGGCTGGGAGCACATCTGCCTAGACATGCATCGGTGACCCACCATCCTTGCAGCCCCCACTGAATTCTGAACTCACTGCCATCCCTGAACTCCCTCCCACCTTGCAGGTTATTTCCTAAAAGTGATCAACTGCACTTTTCTTCTATGAAAGGCAGCATTTCCCAGCTCCTGCTGAGTTTTTACATTCTCACTTAATCTCTGGTTCAACATGAATAATGCACTCACCTCGTGAAAAGGTGCAAATCTGAACCCAAACTACCCATAAATTGCAAAGATACCAGAAACAGCTGCCTAGTTACAGCAGGACAGAGTTTAGGACAAGCCATGAAATCTACCTACAAAACCTATTAAACCAGCTTATGCTGACTTTTTTTTACTTACACTGCACTGAGGGATGTGCTTCCAGCTGCCCCTGTTGTGAGTACCTGTACTGGTGAGCTGAAAGCAGCGGATGGTACCAAAAGGTTCAGGGAAAAAAAAAAAAAGGGATAAAAAAGACAAGGTTACTATACCAGATCTCTCTGGAAATAATGGTATTAAATATAGAAAAGGTTATATACCGTTTTCTTTGTCCTTTCTCTCCCCATAGGCTGCTGGCCTATGATTGTTTCTTGTACCTACCCTGTAGCTGATTTTATTGTTTATTCCTAGCTCCCCCTCCAGTTTGCTTGGGGCTCTGTGTCTTAGCCAGTGACTCCGTGCTCCCATTCCAAGTTCAGAACCTTTCTGGCTAAAGTCTGCGGTGACACGTAACACAAAAAGACAGCTCTGGGCACAGGGCATGCAGCCGTTCCTGGAGAGAGCAGGCTGCAGTTCGGCAGTACCATTTCTGTAAGATTAAGTGATTAAGCCTAACTAAAAGTGACTAACAGGGATAGATCTCTTCCTGTCAAACACAGAAGGTTTTCCATAGAGCAGCTCCAAGGTTGTGAGTGAAGGTGAACAGCTCTGCTTCTAAAGACTGCTTAATTTTAAGAAATTCAAAGACCCGGCACAACATTTTGTTCTGTGACTTTCTTAAACCTACACCCTACTCCACATCCTTTCATGAGCCATTATATTTCTTATTTAAAGCAGACACAACAGAAGTTAAAAAAAGACAGAAGAGATGAGAAGTACAAGTCTCTGCAGATGTAAGATATAATTTAGCAAAGTATTTTATCACCCAATCCTGCCAGGTCTTCAACACATTCTGCAAGCACATACTCCTCCACTCATCTTGTGAACAGCAGGAGAGAGAGCACTCCAGTCTTCTTCTGGTTGCAGGAAACTCCCTGGTGTTGACTGTTCATTCAGCTTTTGCACACATATTTATATGGCTAAAGTCTTGAGAGTCTTCATGAATTGATTACTAAGTCTGTGTTTTGCAATAAACCATTATTTATTTAGGCATTCATACTGATTCATAAAAGCCCATGTTCAGATTTTCTGATGTACATGGTGTGAAAACACAGATAAAATAGGGAGATCCAAAAGAATATGTTTTATTTACAGGTTTTGTATAAATACAGAAAACAGGAGATGGGATAAATACTCTAACAAAGTAGTCACCAAACTGTTTTCATTAATAACTTATTAAACCAGTTTTATTTTTGAAAACATCCAAAGGAAGCTAAAAGCTATGCAGGCAGCTGGTTGAATTTCTCCTGGAGGGTTTGAATGGGAGTGCAGGCCGGTGCTGAATTTCACTCTTGTGAATAAATCAACGCATTATCTTTTGGAAAGCAATATCTTTCAGGGTGGAATAGAGCCTATTTAGTAAATTATTATTTTTGTTTTTAAAACTAAATGACTCTTTATTAAAAAAGAGACCTACTGAAATTTGAATTCTTCCTCATTACCTGAGGCATAATCAAATTGTCAGCTGTTTTACAAGGGTGATAATGTGGAACAGAAGTGTGATAACATTTGCCATCATTGCAGCTGGTTCCCCCCAAAAGACACCTTCTCACAACCTCCTCATCAGTGAACCCACACGATCTTAGAGAAGCACAAGTTATTGTTTAGAAGTGATCTGATAATGAATATCAGAGAATCACTAACATTGAGAAACACCTCCAAGATCATTGAGTTGATAGATATGAGTTGTTAGACTTATTTTATTTGGGCACACTCTAATTTGAAACACAAATTAAATGCCGACTTCTGGAAAAATGTAGGAATTCATCGCTGATTTCACCTGTCAGCATGACCAGGATTTTGCTACTGGAGTATATCATGCTGTTTTCAGATTTCAGAAGCAAATGCTCAACCATTTCATTTTACTGATGTAGAGAGAAAAAAAGCTGAGAATATGTCAAAATAGTTTATAGTACTATAACAAGATACAGCAGCTGAAGGCACAACTGGGTAATTTAAGGGTGAAAATAAAGAATATGTGTTTACTAGAGTTTGGGGTTTTTTTGTAAAACCACTTATTAAGAACATTTTAAAATCAAGACTAGTTATTTCCTAGAAGTTTTGAGCAGGAATTAGTTCAAGGAATTTACTAGCTTGTGCAGTGTAAGAAGTCAGCGTAGATGGGTTTACGAGCTGTGACTCTATTTATCTAACTATAATGTATCTATAAATTAATCAAACTGGACTGATCATAAGGGCAGTTTCCCAGTTAATGTTAATTCATTCTTAAAAGTGCATACATTATCAATCACTATTTTAAACATACTTGGGTATAGAATAATCTATAATTAAGAGTCTAGACCTTTGAGCTTGACATCTTCAATCTACACTGAACTGGGATAGAAATGGCAGTCCTCATGCACTAGATGAGGTACTTGGTTAGATACTGCTCCTATTACTTTAACTGGATACCCTAATTCCATCCCTGTAGGTCTGCAATTGGTCATGGTCAACATCTTGCTCAGTTGTTGAAGGTGATAGGATGTTTTTCAAGGACTGGACCTATTTTCATTGTTCAGTCTTTCCTTGTGAAAACAGTGATGTTTTAACTATTTCAAATAATGCTTGTCCAGAAAGATACATTATTTTTGCAGTGGATCCACTAAGTCCATCATGTTACAATGGACAAGAATATCAGAGAAGTTAAAGATATACAACTGTATATAAATTAGTTCTATGGAATAGTGTATTTTTAGGGCACAACTAAGCCTTAATCTTCCTGTCCAGCTTCCCTGGGGACTTCCACCCACATTTTCTCCTGCTGTCCCTGGGACCTGGCTCACCCCTGACCATGCCTGGGGCTGTCAATTAACCTGCAGGGAGAGCTCAAGCTTGCCACGTTCTCTCTCTGCTCTGGTTATCCATCCAGGAGGCCACAACACCTGAGCTCCCTGTGAGCTGAACTGCAAACCTGCTCACAACTGAGCTGCCTTGATCTGGGAGGCCTTGCTGCTCCTCTCAGTGGCACTTCATCACCCTGGTGTGAAATAAGTTTCAGATTACCCCACTAACTATTCTGCTAATGCAGTCAGTATATTCCTTCCTCCCTGTGTTCCTCTAGAGCTCCAAAGGTGAAGCTTGCATGAATAACAAGCAGCTGCTCCTGAACATACTGAAAAGCTATTCCCTGAGATAACTACGATCTTCACAATGTTACTGCATAGCAATGGAGCATGGAAGTATTTCTTGGTCCTTTGGCAGACAGTAATCTTCTGAATGTGATAAACACAACCAGCCACTTTCTATGGCACAAGAAAATTAGTGGTTAGGCACGTAAGTTAAAAAAAGAAAAAAAAAAAAAAACTAAAAAAAACCCCAAACCAACAGCTCAATGCAAATCTTAGAGGCTGGGAAAAGCCACTGGTGTGCAGGAGGAGAGCAAAATAACCTCATTTGTACCTTTCTTCAAGTGAACAGGACTTGCTTCACTGACTTCACTGGGAGCTGTGTTAGGTGCTAATATTAACGAGAGGGCTGTGAGGCCTGCGGGAGAGCCCCTGTCCCGCTGTCCCTGCTGTCTGAGATCCGGGTGGGTCTGCGGGATGCTTCCACCGCACACAGGTTGGCGTGGGCAGCCCCTCCCGAGGCCAGCCCGGAGCGGGCGGGCAGGCAGCGTGTCTGCGGGCCGGGCAGGGCTCGGGGCTGTGGTACCGGGCAGGGCTCGGTGCCGGAGCGGCGGGCAGGGCCCGGGGCCGGGGTACCGGGCAGGGCCCGGTGGCGGAGCGGCGGGCAGGACTCGGTGGCGAGCCCGCCCGGCTCCCCTGCCCTGCCCTGCCCGCGGCCGGGATGCGCTCGGAGGCGGCGCCGCAGCTGGGCGGCCTGGAGAGGTTCGCCAGCGCCGGCAAGGGCCGGGGGCTGCGGGCGCGGCGGCGCTTCGCCGTGGGCGAGCTGCTGCTCAGCTGCCCGGCCTACGTGGCCGTGCTGACCGTCAGCGAGCGCGGCAGCCACTGCGACGGCTGCTTCGCCAGGTAGGGCCCGGGCGGCCGCGGCTTTTGCGGGGCGGCAGCAGAACTTTCCCCCTCCTCGGCCCGTGGTGCTGTGGCAGCGCGGAGTTTAAAGTCAAAGCTGGTTTTCCGTGCTCAGCAGCTCAGGAAAGAGAAAGGAAAAGGAAAAACAAAAATCTGCTCTTCCCGTGCTCTGGCGGTCACGTAGACACGTGCGTAACCATCCTCTCGCAGGAAGTTTCATTGATCCGTCTAGTTTTGTAATAACTTCGTGTTCGCTGGTTTTAATGAAGGTTTGTTAAGGGAGGAAGGGTCTGCAATCACCTAATTCACACTTCACATTCCCTAGTGCGGAGGGAATATCTATGAATGAAATGTATACATCTCCGTACTGAAATATACAGAAATACTTGTATGTTACCTCTGTCTGAAACCTTAGTCTGCAAATCACTTTTACTGGGGCGGAGCGCAGGCAATGCAAGAACTTGTTTGTCTCCTGGCTGGGAATACTGGGACTGGAGTGCTGCCTGCTCCTGAGTGCTTCGGGATTCCTGGTGCTGGAGGGATGCGGGGGGGGCTCGAGTTTGCCGGGGCCCCTGCAGCTGCGTCCTCACCTGTGTGAAGGGGAGGTATTCGAGTGTTTGCCTCAAGCCTCGCGATACGAGCTGCTGCAGGGTGTATTAAAAGGTGTATTAGGGTCAGCAAATTCAGCATGGATATCACACTCTGGCACATCACACCACACCATATTTTTAGAAGGTGTAGTACTTTCGTGGCTTCTGACAGCTTACTGAGGAATTACCTGCTTACCTGGTTATAACTGAGAGCAAATTTTAGTAGTTTCCTCAGAAAAGAAAAACAACTGTTGCAATTGTACTATTTTTATCCATGCATCCTTTTTCTTTCATCATTACCTTATCGACTTATGACTTGGTCACTTGATTCACCCCTCTCTTTGCATATGATCACCTAATGAGTTCCTAGAGAAGCCAGTTCCATTAATTTGAAGAAGGGTACAGCTGAGGTGATTTTCCTCGCCTCCTTTACACCTTTTCCCAGCCTGTAAGGTTTACATTGAAGTGCTGTGTTTGGGTTTAGGGTTTTTTTTAACTCTTGTACCTAACCACAAGTTTCCTTGTTCCAGAGAAGCTGCCTGGTTTTGTTTATCATATTCAGATTTTTCTGCCAAAGGACCAGGGAATACTTTCATACTTCACTGATATGAAGTAATCATATTCTGTAAGGATAATAGTCATCTGTAAGGATAATAGTCATCTCACAGAATAGCTTTTGGTTATCTTCAGGAGCAGCTCCTTGTTATCCATGCAAGCTTCTCCTTTGGAGTTCTGGAGGAGCACAGCGATCAAGGAACCCAGTGACTGCAGCAGGACAGCAGTTAGTGGGGTAATCTGAAACTTATTTCACACCAGGGTGATGAAGTGCCACTAAGAGGAACGATGTCTCGGCGACGTAAGGTGATCCGCCAGCACTCAGACATGTGTTCTGTGTCTGTGACTGTTGCATTAGCACTGAACTAGCACGTACTGGATTCCAAATGTGCTGGTACAACTTGCAAAGAGCCCTAGCAGGGAGGTTGTGGGCCCGACACCTGCCTTAGGAAGGGAAACTTGGCGAAGTCATCCTGAAAACTTTGGTGGTAACATGGGCAAAATGAGGCTGTAACATTGTATTTGCATGAGATAGTGGTTGTTACTTTAAATACGCGGTTGTAATGTCAGCGAGAGGCGTCATGATGTTAGACGGCTCGCTCAGATTGCACCTTGTGTGCTTTGCAGATACAATCAGAGGATGCCAGACTTGCTGGGTTTTATGGGCTCCAAATACCAGTGACCACCCAAATGTTGTACACTGTCATATAAGGACCCTCACCCTTGATTCACTCCAGTGAGCTTACCTCAGTGTAAGGCTTTTTTTTTTTTTTTTTTTTTGCTACTTACCCCAGGGAGGGTGTGCAGACATTTTAAAAGCATTCAGTACTGCTGAGAGATCCCTATTGCTGTCATTCCAAAATGTCACTTGTTGGGTAACACATGTTCTATTTTTGGTGGGATCTGTTGCAACACATGCACTTTAAAGCAGAAAAGGACCTTCCTTGTGGCAGTTCCCTCTGGTGGGGTATATACAAATATAAAAAAGGAGAGTGTGAGCCTCAGGTCTGCTCAGAATACACAGATATCAGAGGAGACAGGGTGGGACAGTAAGGGACTCTCAGGTGACAGGAGATCAAACAGTATATTTAATAACATATTATTTTTTTCTTGGCTTTTGGAGGTACTTACTCAACAAAGGTTGTGCATTCTATAACCAAAGAAGCAGTAGAGTTGTCATGGCAGAGCCAAAGGATTAATATTGGTGAACGAGTACACAGAGCAGTTTTAAAGTTTGCAAAACACAAGAAGTTTAACTCATTATGCTTCATATAGTGTCAAAAAAAAAAAGATGCTGTCTGTCAAATAGCATAGAGTAACATGTTTCCAAATCCACCAATTTATCAGGAAAGCAGAATGCATAATGAGACTTGCTTGGAAAAAAAAGTGCTTTTGAAAGTCTAATATAGAGTTTTCATTGTGAAATGCAAAATACTGAGCAAAAAGTGATCCAGTGTACACTTTTATTTCATTCAGGTTTCTAGAACAGAATAACTTCTGGTTTTTTTGTTTGTTTTTTTTTTAAGGAAAGAAGGATTGTCCAAGTGTGGAAGATGCAAACAGGCCTTTTATTGCAATGTGGAATGTCAGGTATGGTCATGCAATTTGTGAGGGTGGGGGGAAGGAAGGTGGGGGTTGCAGAACTCCAATTTTTGTTTGTGTGGCGTTTGATATGCTCTAATTGTAGCTATGGTTAATAACACTCCAGCAGATGCTAACCATGGAGCTGTGCATTGGACAGTTACAGGATTTCGCCATGGTCTGCATGAGTCTTTCAAGATCAGCAGCTTCAGGGCTTGATACCACTGAGACTTTGATTAGAGCTGCCTGTCAGCCCACTAATTATGTCTGTATTACTTCTTCCTTTAAGGACAGACCTGATAATTTAGCATTAGCTCACTAAACTGGTAAGATATCCTGTGTCTAATGGAAATAATGGAAAAAAAATGAAATCACTAAATAGCCATCTTAGGAGAGAGAGAGAGGTGTTTTTTTTTGTTTTTTTTGGTTTTTTTTTGAATATTTGAAAATGTTTTGAGTATTGAGACTACCATAGGTGATGGTAGTCATAACCATTTGAAACCTATCAGGCTTTCTCCCTAACTTGCTGTGGCAACTTCTATTCTTTTCCCATTTTTTAAAGGCCCCTGGATGTAGACTATAAGTACATAGTAGAGCAATACTAGATGTCCAAAACATTTACATGCAGTTTTAACTCTGTTTTTAATTCAAATTAGAATAAGGATATTTAATTTTAAAAAAAAGAGAGAGAGAAAAAAAAAGGACGGGATTAGGATATTAGAATCTAGCCTTTTTTGGGCCCTCAGCTTGATGGGGAAGAATTATCCAGTTTCTGTGTGGAAAAACCCAGCTGGGTTTCTGGTTGAATAACGTGAGCTATGCAAGGTCTGTGGTGCTGGGCACAGAGTGTGGAACAATGCTTATGAAGGATTTGAGTGGCCCAAGGTCTGGCATGCAGCTGTGTGTTAGCCATAAATAATCCAAACCTTGTGCCACATGTTAACGTGCTCTTGGGTGCATGGGTCCATGCCAAGTAGTCTCTGTTGTCATTACCTGGAGAGACATGTCGTGGTTTGTGCTGATCAGTTCCCATACACTTTGGACATGGCTGTTACTTTTATTTCGAGGATGTCTCTTACTCTCCTGTTGCACAAGTCTCAAAAGAAGCCTGACCTCTCCTCAGTTTTCCCTCTTTACCTCCCGAACTTCCTGCTTTCCTACAGAATTCTAGTGAGTTGTGGGTGTATCAAATAGCCTTTTGGTTTTGAGGCACCAGGAGAACTCAAAAGGCTTAACAGAAATTAGTTTTTTTACAAAGTTTCAGTAGTTCATAGAATTTCCAAAGTGAAAGCTTACTGTGTGAGCACCTTTAAGGGTCTTGAGAGAAATCTGGATGAGCTTTAAAGTCAGTGTAGAGAAAGCCTTTGATTCATTCATGGAAAATGGTTGTTTATAAGAAATGTTTCCTCATGTCAGTATTTCTTACAAGCTTTTAACTACATGTGGTAAGGAAATCCTTGAACAAAGCAGCTGTTTAGCAGCTTTTATCTGAGACTGTGAGTTTCTTCTCTTACTATATAAAATGTACAATGGTTTGTGAAACAGCTGTGTAAGATTTTCTGCAGTAGGAAAGCTCAGTAATTTGTGCTGGGGAAAATAGCAAGTAGATGTCATGTTGGAAGTAGAAGAACTTATTTCTTCTCATCCATGGTCCTTTGCTTTCATCACCAAGTGGCCCTCCCTCAGAGTCCTAAGAAACAAGGAGGGATTTATTTATTTATTTATTTTTTCCTGATAAAGTTTTGTATATGTATTGCTTTTCTTTAGATTAATTTTTTTTTTAATTTTTATTTTTTGGTGGTCAGAATTCTCTGTCTCTAGAGGGACATGTTCCTGGAGTAAAAAACTGAACTGCTCAAACTGAGTGTCCTTAAGTCTGCTAAAGCTGGTGCTCAGTAAAAGCTTGTCTGTCTGATAAGTTAGTGAATTGGAATCTTTCCTGCCTGTTGGTGTGTGGTATGATGCTCTAGATATAAAGGCCTTCTTTGGATTTTGTTGATGTCTAAACTATAGTATGACATGCACAGGTACTAGCACCTCACTCCTGCTGGTGATATACATATGGCTTTTGATTCCCTAGTTGTTATAATGCTGTCTTCCATCTTTTGGGCCCTTCTGAGTCGGTCTGATGAAATTTATAAATGTTGCTGAGATTGAATTCTTTGATATTCTTTCAAAATTACCTTCAAGCACAATATTCTCTAGAAACTGGTCTCCACTGACTGTACGTGCTACACAGACTGTCTGCACTGCATCTTCATCACTGTCTTGTTCAAAGGCACTTTTCAGCAGTTCAGCAATTCTTTGTAAAAGCTAAAAAGTATATCTGTGCCTTGATACTGAATTTGTAACACTGGAATGTTCAGGAAATGTGTCCCTTTTTCCTGCATGGATGTGAGATATCATGTGACAGTCATAAAAGGCCAGGGCTTGAGAACTGTCATGATATTGTTAATTTCATTTTTATTTTATAAGTTAATTTTCCCCTGTAAATCCATATTTTTTTGTCAATTCAGCTAAAAATTGTATGCACCCAACAAGGACATGGTATGATTTCATATATTGGCTAGTACCTCGTTAGTCAATACAATGCAGTTAGACAAAGGTTTATCACATGAGGCATATGAAATAAAAACCCAAAGCTTTTGAGCTTGCTCTTTTCTTACTTAAACACGTCCTACCACAACTTGATCATTGTGGGGAGAGGTGGATATATGTACACACACAGGCTTTGGCACAGCTCCTTAATGTTCCTGTTTTGGTCTCTTATTTTGCTTTTGGGATGGATAACCACATATTTGGCCTGTATTAAGCTGGATGTTTGCATAGGTGTGGATTCAGAGCACATAAGAGTGAAAGTTGTCTTCAATGCCTGTCCTTGCTGTTTTTAATGTTTTGTGGGTTGAATCTAGTCTGGGTTTGCTGTGTCTTTCTTTCCCCAAGCCCTAATCCAGGTCTCCTTTTAAAAGGGATTGTGATTTCCAGCAGATTCGCACCATCCCACTCTCCAGTTTCACCTCCTTGGAGCACAGGCCTGTTATAATAGTGGCTTTCAGCCCCCATCTGCAGCTGTTCAGGTCTTGACTTCTTATATTATAATAATTTTAGTCAAGCAGGAGGAGACCTGTGCTCATTTTTTCTCTTTAGAAATTAGCTGCTGGAACACACTGAAGAGAAATGTTTTAAGAGGGTTATGTGTTTGTAATTTTGGACCTGGTGAACTTGAACCAGCTACTGGAACTCCTCTTGCTGTTATTACATGTGGCTATCATTTATCGCAAAGAGAGTGGAGATTAGCTAGCCAGTGTGCAGAAGGAGATGTTTGTGTGGTGATTTTCAGCATTTGAAATATATTTTAAACAAACAATTTATGGGTTTTTCTCAACATGTCATGTTAAAGGCTGCTGTAGTTGGTATTTCTGGAGTGACTGAAACAGGTATTTTTAACTAGCTAGTAAGCGTCAAAATGTAGTTGCACACCTGTAATTAGCATTAAGCAGGTGTGTTTTAAATGGGACCTTGTGAAATTGCCTGCTCCTCTTTGTTAAGATGTAGAAAAAAATACAAATTTTTTTGCTGTAATGATTCTGCTCAAAAGGATTTTGACACTGCAAGATTGCACTGGTGTCTGTCCCCCTATACAAAAAGTTTGCCAATGTATTTTTCTTTGGTGAATGTCTCTGTGAACACGTTAAGTGTTAATCCATGAAAGTCAAATACCCTCTATAGCTCAGCATTTGGTAAATGATGATAGGGAAGGATGGCTGAGAAGATATATAAAACTTTTACCTTCACTGCTTGTTGAAAGGCTGTATCAGAGAACTTTACCAATTAATATCAGACATCAGAAGTTGCCTCACTGAAATTCGGTTAAGGAATTGGATGCCATTTGATCACAGTTGGGCCTTAAGATTCTGAAGAAGTGAGCTTAACACCTGCACTGGCTTGCCCATCATTTCTCTCTGGTATTTATGTGTGTTTCTTTTCAATTGAGTGAAACAGAACATAGTTTTTATTTCATATTGAAAAAGCCCATGTTAAAAAGGAGGTATAAGGACATTTGTTTGGATTTGAGTTTTATTTTTTTTTAATATTATATTTTGTCACTTGTTGTTTTTCTCCTATGGTGAGGTATAAGACAGTGTTCTGGGAATCAATCCAGTAGTCCTGGAAGGCAGAATCTCTTTGAAGAACTTGGTGAAGAGGAGTGTTCCCATGCTTTGATGTAAAAGGCAGAAGCTTTAAAGAACTTCCCTTCCAAAAATGTTGTCACTCCTAAATGAAGGGAAAAATATTGTGAATGTAATGAAAATAGGAAGAAAATATCAGTAATGTAGCATTAGGGATTCAACTAGAACAATGCTACTTGTTATAATTCAAACTACCTGGAGGAAAATGTGGAAAAGAATGCAAAACACAGTCCTGCTGTGATCGCAGGGAAAGCTGCTGTCATGGTGTTTCTATCCCAGGTATTACTCAGTCATCAGAACTCTCTTTTTTTTTTTTTTTGTGGTGTCAGGCTTTTATCTCATTTTGCACAATTCAGCCGTATCTTGTCCCTTTAACCTCCCTACCAGTTCATATAACTCAGTATGATTCTGCCTGGGGAAAGATTTTAATTAACGATGTGTAAAGAATAAAGGGACAAATGGATTTTTTTTCAAATACTACTTTGAGACAGGCACGTGATTTTGCATTTTGATTTTTTGTTTTATCAGGTAATTTCTCCTGTTTATTTAATGTGTGTGTATGGATGAGAGCCCTGCAAAGCTTCAGGTTCAGTGCCTTCTCTTTAAGAAGAAGCATGCTAAAGTTAGTGGGTGTCCTGGGTAAGAAAGAAGAGGTGAGAAATGAGATTTCTCTCTCTCTTTTTAGCCTTTGGCCTGTATATTCCTAAGCAAAGGCTGTCAGGAATTTTCCAGAAAAGGTTTTGGGGCATACATAGGAAATGGGTCTCTCTGGGGATGCATTTTGTAGTGTGACAGCTGTAGGAGAGTTGAGAGTGTAATTTCACATGACATGATTACAGTGTAATATACTATTTTGGTTCTGGTGTGTATTGCCACATCCTCTTAGAATATTTACACTGGAGCTTATTTCAAGCAGCCTGTATGTAGGTTTTTTTGAAGTGCCATACTGGGTTATCGAGGACAGCACAGTTGACATTGTGAGGGGTTGAATACCCTTGCAGTGTTGCACTGCTTCAAATCCTACCCAAGACTGGGGCAGGTGTTGACCTTTCTTTTCCTAATTAAATAACCTTCTAAAGCTGTCTGTGCCCAGGACACTTAAAATAACTGTTTTCAGTGGAAGAAATTGTGGTGTAGTAACTCTGAAATTAGTAATTTTAACTTTTGTTTTGATCTGCAAAACCTGTAAATAAGCTGACCAGCCAAGGCAGGAGGCACTGAGGGTCCTGATTCCCCTGACTGTTTCCTGCTTTGGGATGCTGTATGTAGCTCCCACAAGGAATCCATCTCCCAGCAGTCCTGTAGCATATCTACCAGTCCTGTGTAGATGCTTCAGGCAGCCTCCAGTGTGTCTCTCTGGTGTTTCAAACAGCTCTTGCCTTTAGTGGTTGAGCAGCTGAGGGAAACTGTTCCTTCTGTGCCACTCAGTCACTATGATGGGCCATATTGTTGGGTTTTTTAAATTATTTTTTAAAAACGGGGCTAAGTGGGCCAACACAGGATCTGCCATACTGAGTGAATCAGAGTAATGGGATTTAAGAACATTCTGGAAGGTGCTAAAATTTTTTCAAGTTTTCACTCACAGATTAGTGGGATTTGTTGTTGAGGTTTTTTCTCTGCTAGTGTTTTCCACCAGTTTGAATCTGTTATGAAAGCAAAGTTTGATGCTCCCTAAGTGGGCAGAAAACTGTTGTTCTGTTCTAACATAGTGCTATAAACGTGTGTTTGGAATGAGATATAGCAATAAATTCCTGTGCATTGCTTGACTATTTCCGTATTTAAATGAATTAATAAAATAAAATTTGATGCAGTCTGAGGACAGCCTGGGCTAGGGCATATTGTTAATATGTGATTCTGTGCTATTGTTTGGAAGATTCTGTGGCCTTGGGTGAAATTTGTTGAGTGACAAAAGCCAGTGAGTGCCTTGTGCCATCACTCCTGTATGTTGTTACTGTCTGTTGAGCCATGAATATGCTATGCATTACCTAAACTATATTCTATACATTTAACTAAAATGTTTGTCTGCATTAGTGTTTTTTCATTGTCTAGCTGTACTTTTATTCTTCAACATTTAAGGAAAAAAAATCTGGTAATTCCATCAGAATGTTTGTGGTTGACCTTACAGTCAAATGATTCTTAGTGGTTGTGAATCCATTGACTTCAGACACATTACTCCTGATTACACCAGGGTCACCTCATAGTGAGGGGCCAAGGCATTAAATGGAAATGAACCCAATAAAGTCATCAAGCTCAGACCTACTGCGTCCTCACATGCTTGATCTGAACAATAAGAACTGGTGATTTATAAATCATGTTGTCTATTTGCTTCTTTGTCATTTAATACTTTTTTTCCGTTGAGTAAGTGAAGATGTTCTGACCTCAGCTCATCCCTTGTGAATTTGGTTGAAAAAAAGCAGGATAGCTGTACCCCTTAAATGTGACTCAAGCTTTTGTTCTGATTTAGTGAGCGTCACCTTATTTTTTAAAGGAAACACATTTCACTTGACCTCTAGGATCTGGCAGGACTTGCTTCATCCCCTTTTTCATAAGTTTATCTCCATGGCTCTTTTTTTTTAAAGTATTTTTTTCTCTGTTTTCAGAAGGAAGACTGGCCAATGCACAAGCTGGAATGTGCCTCCATGTGCACTTTTGGGCAGAACTGGAATCCCTCAGAGACTGTGAGGCTAACAGCAAGGATCCTTGCCAAACAGGTGAGCAGAAAGTGAGGCTTGGGAGGTTTGCTCCTGCTCTGGGTGCCAGGGAAGGCAGGAAAATTAAAATTGACCGACAGTAACTCTCCCTGCAAAGCACACACAAACACACACACAAGTTTCCTGTGTACAGACAGGTATAACACAGAGCTCGAGCAGCTGAATGAACTGACCACCAGACCACTGCAGCAGGGTCAGGGCCAGCATGGTCCAGCTGGAGACTTTTGTGGGAAGCTAGAGAAAGGCTAATGAGGTCTTCAGCTGTAACCTATGGCCAAGGTACTGCTGAACAGAGCCTGGAAATATTTACTGACGGTTTTACGTTGGTGTTTCAGCCCCTGATCTGGTAGATTTGAGCTCTTGGTTACACATGTGGGCAAGCACCAAGACCACATGATAAAAAGAAAGAAGAATAAGATTTGCTATTTGGGTTTAATTCCAAGGAATGCTTCTGGAGTTCTCTGGCTGCAGGCACTGATACCTTTATGAAGCAGTTGTCTGCTGTAGTATTTTTCAGGTACAGTTGCATAGCATTGTGTAGCATATAACTCCCAGTACATTTGTGAGTCAAAACACCTCTGAGGTATTCAGGCATAAACATTTATGATTATGAGAAAGCTGCTGAAAACCAGAGTTTGAGAGAGAAATCTCAGACCCTTGGTATTTGGAAAAAAAAGAATATTGTGAGTAAGCAAAGAAGATTGCAATGTCAACCTCCATTTCAGTGTTCCTCAACTATATAGATACTGGGAATAACACAAGTTATCATGAGTTTCAAGGTTATTGTGCTGTGTATCTTTGTAGAGCTCTAAACTCTCTCTGCAAAAACAGATCCTCTTTGAAGGATATTTTTGTGATTGAGGTCTGGTTATGTGACAAGGGCAGCCTGGATACTGTATGTAGGGAGGATTTTGGTGGCCTGCTGGGAAGGTAGCTGCATCCTTGCTGTGTGTGTAGAGGTGTGTGCATGAATGTACATGTGTGTGACTTAATTAAAGCGCCGTTTGGGGGTGATCCACAAACAAAATCGAATGTTTAATGACAAAAAGTCGTTGGAGTAAATTTCTACTTTCATCGCTTAGAGGGAGGGGGGAGAACCCTACATGTCATATAAAAGCTAAATATGCAAACCATAGTCCCTGAACCTCAGCTGCTGGGCCACCTGCAAAGCCATATTTAATGGCCAAGATTACAAAGAAGTGGCCTTAGGCCAACAGTGGAGCACTGCTTTTGAACTCTGTCAACAGTCAGTTTATTCACTTTCCTCAAAGCAAAGCCTGTCTTCTGCCTGCTTGCTATTGTTAGCAGCTTTCTGGGTGTTCAGAACAAAGCAAATGACATATTTAAAATACTGTTCAGTTTATGTATATAAATTTGAGAGGAGTTCATCTTCGGCTGTCTAATTTGGTGTGGAGAGAATATTTCTCTGCCTTTAGTTAGGCAGTCAATTTAACTCATTGCTGTTCATCAACTCTTATAAATTCCATAGTCTGTGGATTCGGGTTTGTCTTACAGGTAGGAGTTCCCAAATTCTGAATGAGTACACAAAACTTCTGAACGGAAACATTAAAATATTTTCTTTTTTTTTTTTCTCCCCCTTGTTGTTAGAAAACTCACCCTGAAAGAACACAGTCAGAGAAGCTGCTTGCTGTAAAAGAGTTTGAATCACGTAAGTAAAAAAGGCTTGCAGGTAAACAAAGGTTTTGACTTAACTGTATTAATGGTTTGTTTCCCCATGGTGCCCCTTCATCAACACCTTTCAGAACATCCCACTCCTGCTGGAGGAAAGAAGTAAACAAAGAGAATTGTGGTTCCTCATTTTTATGAAAGTGCAGTGCTCTTCTTTCTTTTTTTTTTTCTTGGCTGTTTGTGGGAGCTGTGAAACGTAGACAGAGTTAATTATGTAGCATACATCCATCTCTTGCTTCTCTGGTATTCTAGTGTCTTTTGAGAATTGTAATCTTGCAAAATTAAAATAGCTGGTATTTGTTACCAGGAGGCATAAAATCAGAGACAGCACAGTTGCTTGATGGTGACAGTGACTAAGGGGCTAATTGCAGAACCCTCTGGACTGTTCTTCAGTATCTGTCACTGCCAGTCAAAATCTGACATGTTGTATATGATTCCATGTCCTAAATGCGCTAAAATAATCCAAAGAAGGAGATAAGGCAATGGCTTGCTTTTAACTGGGAAGCTACTGTTTACATCCAGTAAGGCTGAGTTAGAAACTGACCATTAGTGCCCACCCTGGCACAGTTTTCACCAGTCTGTTGTTTTCTTTCTTGGTGCTGAGCATAATAAACACAGAGGCAATGGGTTCTACATTCACATTAGTCACTCTGATGGCTTCCAAAACCTTTTACAAAATGCTGAATAAATGTACTCATTGCCAGGACTTGAGGTAGCAGAGTAACCAAGCACAGTAGTCTTATTTGCCTCCTGAAGAAAAGCTCCTATCATTGCTTTTGGGAAAACTGGGGGAACAAGGGGGAAAAATGCCAACATTTAACTTTGCCTGCGGCAAGGATAGTTCTACAGGTAAGTTGGCAGGATTGAGGTTGAGGAGAATAGGTAAGTGTCTGTGTATTCTTCTGCATTGCAGCTTGTATTCAATAATTTATTAATTTGAGAGATAAAAGGCCGAAATGTTTTTTTCTGTTGCAGTGTCCCACTTGTCCTCTAGAAGCCTTTGTTTTGTTAGCAAGCACCCTGTTCCTGCTGCTTTTTGACTCACCTCACTGCTTAGCACACCTTTATCAGTTGTCTTATGCTTTGCAACACCACACATAGGACAGGAAAAGGCACTTGGCTGTCAGTTGGAAGCTCAGAATTTCTTATTTCTGATTTGTCTTCATTCTCATCAAATGGTCCAATTTAATTTTCCTCAGTTTTTGGTGACTCCCCCATCATTCACATCTGCTCTTACAAATAATTTCCTCTTTCTTTGACTGTTGTGCAGCCTTTTGTCTCTATTATTATTTTGAGTTGGAGAGAGCAGGAGAGAACTAGTAACACTGCCACTGCAAGAGAATGGATTAGGAAAAAACTTCCAAACCTTCTGCTCTTGAGGGGAGAGAGAGGGTTCCAGGAGCATATGGTGGATCATCTAGCTTACTCTGCATGGGCGAGGTAGGGAAAGGTTCAGTGGCCATGGCTTTGGCTAGAATTTGTCATGGGCCTGAGGGTATATCTCTGGAGAAACCCATAATGGGATACAGTTGGCAGATCTGCCAGTGTGGAGACCCTGGGCGACATTCCCTAGTTTAGGGAGACACAAGAAGCTTCCCACAAAAAGCTGTTAAGACCCCATTGGCTCCTTCCCCTGTTCCTATGTCTGTTCCTATGTCCCTGAGCCACTCTCTCCCTATTCCCTTAATGACCCCTTGGAAGAGAAAACCGGAACTCTCCATGTGTGTGTGCCTGGGACGTGAACATCTCACTGCACAGCTGAATAAAGCATCTGTGGATACCATGCAAAGGCCCTTTCTGCTTCCTTACCCTGGACTTTATCGGCAGCTATTCAGGCAGCAACATGCCAGGACATTTCCACTGATGTTCCTGCTGTCTCCTGTTAGTAGATGTCTAAACACATCTCTGTTGATGGTCACCCCCCAGCCCATGGAGATGTGGGCACTTTCAGGCACTGTTTGCTACCTCCTGAAGCAGGTACCTGCAATAGGTCAGGTGGGTTGCATTCCTGGGCATCCTCATATCCTCCTCTTTCTGCAAAGGGAACCTGTGTAGCCCCCAGTGTTGTTGCTAGATCCCTATCGTGTGTGGCCACAAAGAGTTGGGGTTTCTGTGCTGAGAAGGACCACGTCTTTTAAAAGCAGCAGGGATAAGCAGCCTTAGCAGCAGTTTGGGCTGGTTTGTGCTGGTAAGGAATAGGTCTGTACGAGAAAGTTTCATTATATAAAGCATGTTTTCAGGTGGGTGATGTTTAGTGTGAGCTCATGCCACAGTGGGTGGGACCATGTAGCTGGTCGTGTCAGACAGCTGAGGACAGCTACCCTGGCTGAAAGGCTTCCAGAGGGCCAGGGCTGCTGGGCTGTTTGCTAGAGTTAACAAATGTGCTTTAAAGACAACCCTTCTCCACGGAAAGTAGTCTGTGTCCAATTATCTGCTAACATAAAGATGTCAGAAAATGCTTTTTAATCCTTCATGTTGGGCATGTGCTGGACTTCATGATCTTGAAGGTCTCTTCCAACCGAGTGATTCTGTGATTCTGTATTTTATGTTCTTGTAGCACACGTGTGGCTTTAGCAGAGGCAACATTATGTTTGTGGAAGAGCAGGCACTTCTTGCAGTACTTCCAAGTGGCTTGTCCCTCAGTGGTTTCTGTTAAAGTCTGGGCCTCTTCTAACCTAAGGCTACCTGGAGGGGTTTTCCTGTTACTGAAATGAAATGTGTTTTTTGTCCACAGACCTTGACAAACTAGACAATGAAAAGAGAGAGCTGATTCAGAACGACATTGCTGCTCTTCATCACTTTTACTCAAAGCACTTGGACTACCCTGACAATGCTGCCCTTGTAGTTCTCTTTGCACAAGTAAGTTGGCTAGAATACAGCCTGCTTAGGTGGATGGTGCTGTAGGAGTTCAGCTTTTCTGAAAGGGGGAGAATGTTAATGGCAATGGAAATGGTAGCTCTTTGCTTATCTTAGGGACAGATGACGATACTTGATGGCGATCTGCTTCACTGAGCAGTAGTGGCTGGATGTGCTCCACTTCTGTCCTGAGGGGAGAGACTCCTGTATACAGACTTTCCATGAGGTGCTTCTCAAACACTGAAGAAAAGAGGAAACAGCCTTTAATAAACCCTGTCCAAGTTAAGCTTCTTGTGGGCCAAACATAGTGTGGCTGTTGTTAAACTAACATGGAGGCTGCTGGCCTAAGACCCTGCCTAGACAAATCCTTCATTCAGGTTTCAAACTTGTGGTCAGGTCATCACTGTGTTTGACCTTCACAGGGAGTAAACTTCAGAGACGTAGAAAGAGCAGCAGAAAGCGCAGCGTAAAACTTTTATCTGGTGTGTGGCTTTTAAATGTAGTCAGGTGGTTTGGCCATCTGGAGAGATGAAGGAAAGACAGGATGTCTTGTTAGATAACTTCTGATATGTCATTTCTTTTTTCTCACCTACTTTTCATATGCATCTGAATTGGATGTATTGTAATGGAAGGAATAATATACCGGTGGAATACTGAAAGATCCATTTTCTTCTTTTCCCTCTTTTGCTTCAATATGAGCTACTTTTGTACTTAGGTTTCTGAGTAAAATAATATCTTGGGATGGGGGCAGATGCTGACTTCTGTGATGAAAGCTGAGATGGAAATATTCTGTTTCGTAGAGCTGGGTATCTAACAACAAGAAGGCACAGTTACTGTTTCCTTACTACAGAAGTACTCTTATTCTGTAGGGGAATGATTCTTTAGGATGTTTAGCATCTGCTTATCATCCCTTGTGTTGTTTCTAATTACACATTTCTTTTCAATGACGAGGGTTTTTTATCTTTTGAAGACTTTAAAATTTATATTTGTCAGATGGATACTTTGAAGATGTTAGTAAAACCAGTTTCTTGTGGTATTTATGAATACTTTTGTTAGAATGTAGTCAGAATTCCCCAAAGATTTCATTATTTTAGCTGTAATAACTTTTGTTTCATGTCCTGTCTAAGAGCAGCTCCACCAGACTGTGGTACTTGAACTGACTTCTGTGAGATGCTGACTCCCAGATCTCATATTCCATCCAGTCTTCTCTATGGATGTCACCCATAGGTGCTCCTTAAGCTCATCCTGATCATCAGGTAGCTCTCTGCCACTGTAAGCATTAGGATTTTTTGAACTAAAATCTCCGGAAGTCATCTGGATGCTTCTCAGAAATGTTTTACAGGATGCAACCTTCTGAGGTGTTAGTCCCAGGATAAATCTTTCCAGACGAATGGGAGGTGTGCTTGTACTTGAGCTGTGCAAACATGTTTCCTAATAATTACTTAACTTGACCCAAAACCAGTACTATGGATATGCTGCTGCTTCTTTGTTTTCCTTCAACACTTACACTGGCCTCATGTGGTCTGTTTTGCTTCTCCATTCCCATTGTTTTCCCTGTGGTTCGGGGCAGTCATTGGGATTTGAACACCTTCTCATTGCTTTTAGTGAACTTTGCCTGATGCTCTTCCTTACACAGCTGAAGTGCAAATGGTCCTTTTGAGTGGAATCGAGTTCTTTTGTCCAAAGTCCTTGCCTTTCACAGCCCTCTTCTCCAGCTGTTGGCATCATGCTACTCTCTTTTGTCCCTGTGAATATAGCTCTTGAGGCTGGAGCTTTTCTTCCTCAGCCTCACCTTGTCATACTCTTTGAACAGTTTCTCTCTGTCTTCAAGTTCCAGCATCTCACCCTTTCCTTGAAGACCTTGCATTTTGTGTGCCTCCCTTTGCACATTCTCTTTTCCACTATTGGGAACAATCTTGAACTCCACTTTTATTGCTGTTGTCTCTTCAGTCCCTCCACTTTGCTTGTTTTTAGTCATGAATTCATCTGGTGAAATCAGTGATATATCCCTTCTATCTCTATCCCTGTGTCATTTCTAATATGATACTTTCATGAATTGTGTTGTCTCTGGCTTAGTGGAGGGGAGTTGATGCTAACTCACTACATATTTTTAAATATTTCCCTGTGATTGAGAACCATCAAGCTGTTCTTTGTCAGCCTTTGTAGCCTTCTGTTCTTACTTGAGGTTGGTATTATCTTTCCCTTCAATTGTTTTTACATTCACCTATTACATTTTGGTTTTGGTTCTGGTATGCTTTTACATTGCTCAGTGCAGTAGCATGCCCATCTTGAGAAACTGGGAAACTTTGGGTGCTATATTGCTAAAAATAACAGGATACAGATCAAGCAGAGATAGCAGAGATACTGATGAGTGAATCACGATACTTGCCTTAATTGTGAACTCACCCTGAACAGTTCATGCCTGAGGACTGGCTTTGTGTGTTTGTGTATTTCTAAAAGCCAGTCCAGGCTGCATTCCAGCTTGTGGGGCATATCACTTTGCTTGGTGAGCAACATGCTCTACTGGAAGGCGTCCTTGCCTCTGGGGATTGAAGAAAAAACAAGAGACCAGAAAGCGATCTTTACAGTCCCTTCCAACCCAAACCATTCAATGGTTCTGTGATAATTGCTGGTAGTATTTGTTGTCAGCTCTTACCCTTTCCAAAACAAATACTGCACTATACTTGATTGACTGTTGTTGTGCCCTTTCTAGATTTAACTGGACTTGGCCATCTTGTTCTAGTGAGTAGTTGTTTTAGTGAGTTACTGGCGCTTTTTTCATGTTTGTAGGGAGATAATGGTGAATGTGGAGAGGGTTCTCTTTGTGTCGGTATGTGTGGGATTTGAAGTGGAAGTGGAATAAAGTACTTGACTGAGGTGCATTTTGGACACTTAAAGTCATACAAACCACATGAAAAAGCTGAAACTTCTGTAAGATTCCTTTGACTTGGATGAGAACAAAAGTGAGAAGGTTTTAAAACCTGCTTGAATCTATTCTATAAGAGAGTTTTGTGAACAAGTTCTTTTGATCCTATGTCTGTTTAAATTAGGAATACACTTCCTCTCATACTCTGTCCTTTTTCTGTCCCCTCCTATTCTATGTCTTTATGAGGTTCAAGTCTTTCTCGGTGCTTTTGTTGTTTTCACATGTGCTTTAGCTGTAGCTGATATGTGCAGACCTTGATGACAGGTCCCATTGTGGCAGGTCTCTGTGACACATGCTCCATCAAAGCTCTGGACTGCCCCAGCCTGGCTGAGTTTGCTGCCCTTCTTTCCCACATTGCTCCTTGCATGTGCAGTTCTGCTTTGGCCCGTTCCTTGTCATGGCCCAATGAAGTTTGCTTGCCCCATGTTGGGCTGAGATTTTGTGTGCTCTTTTTGAGCCCCACTTCTCGTGGTTGGCCCTCCAAGGAGCACTTCACTAGATGTGTCCTGAGCAGGTACAAGTGTTGGACCATCAGCTCTTTAGTGTCCTGTGCATTCCTTTGGAGTGGGACTTTGTGCTCACTTCACTTGTCGAGATGTCATGGAGCTCCCTGTGAGTCCTGGAGAGGTGGATGAAAAATTGTAAGCAAATTACAATTCTGCAATTATGTTTTATGTATGAGAATGTGACATGTGAGTACATGGGGAGTACTCAGCTGACCAGAAGCTGATCCAGCACCTTTCTCTTTTTCCTTAGGTTAACTGTAATGGCTTCACAATTGAAGATGAAGAACTCTCTCATTTGGGATCAGCCATATTTCCTGAGTAGGTTGATTTTAATATTTTAAAAGATAAAATTAACTTATTTCAGAACAAATGGAGGAAGTACATATCTACCAATAGAATTAATTTATCTTGTTTTGAATATCTTTAATTGGCTAATAAAATGTGGCAAATTATTTGCAGAAGTTTTTCTTAAAAATCCAGGAATTTTGGAAAAATTGCACTTGTAATTTGTTTTGAAACTTAGATTGTGAACTATATTCAGGTTGGTAAAAACCCCTTAACTTGGGTAGCAGGTTATGGACAGGGACATCAAGTAATGATCAAACCCAAATGAAAAGGATTGCAGGTGACTTGCTCTATTCACAACTTCCTGTTTTGGCTGTGTAGAAACCTTGCCCTGGTGCTCTCTGAACTATATCCCTTCTACCTTTGTTCCTTGGCAAATAGTAAATCCCTTTCATAGCTTGTTTGAGCCTCCTTGCTATGACAGTGGGAAAAAAATTATGTACAAGCTTCTTAGCTTTACAAATAAACTGCAGATGTTAAGTGTTAACCACAGTTCATGAATGGGGGACTACAGTTTTCTTTAGGGCCAAGAAATATTTCTTGCATTTTAAAATCTGTCCTTCCCATTTAATATTGTAGCAGAGGAGGGTGTTTTCTGCCCCTGATCTTTGCACAGCCTGTATGAAGGTATTAGCACTGAGGCTTAGTTTGACTTCCTGGTGAGGCTTGGATTACTCGTAGCTTATCTGTGTCAGAGTAACCTGAAACTTACGGATGCCCACTCAAAGCTGGATGTGATTTTGCCAAGTGCTGCAGACAAGCAGTAGTAGTTAGTCCTTGCTGCACAGATTATTCTTCTTCTCTAGGCAGGTCTGTCTGATGTTTATATCCCTAATCTACAGATTGGAAATTAATGCCTTGAAATGCCCAGGATCAGAATCATTGTGAGAAGAGGAGAATATTAAACCAGGATGTTCTGGAAAAATGTCCAGCACCATCACTTTGTAAATGCTCAGGATACAAGAGTCAGGTCTTTCCTTATTAACAGTTATGCCTTTGAGCTAAAAATACTGAAGGGACAGTTGTTATTTTGCTAGATTGGAAGAGAAAAAAATTTTAAGTTTAATTCTATCTCAGATAAGCAGTGAGCTGCACTTCCTCCAAGCTTGGTAGTAAGGAGTTTACTTTTCTCTGTCCATCCAGGTTTTTGTCCAAGTCATGTGCTTGTATAACAGACAGAGATCGCCTCCCTCCCACTTCAAACATGGAGTCAGTTTACATTTTAATAGAAGCCAGCTAAAATTTTAACACCCATCTCAACTTGCAATGCAGTGAAGACTTTTGTTTTCCTGTATTTACTTGTTTCCTTTTAGGTTAAACATGTTTTTCTTTCTCCTCTGAGGCAAATAGTCTGTCTATCACATTGATAGTAAAGCTGTATCAACATACCTGTCAGCTGTCCTGTAGCACTGTAAGAAGGGGAAAATAATAACTTGCCTAGTTCTGCAATAATAGGATTTAAAAATTGTAATGATTCATTAGCACAGCCATTCTCCATATCATTAGAATAAATAACAGTACAACAGATTTTCCCAAGGTTACCTTCATGTTAAGCCTCAGAATAAAAAGAGCTTAGAGAGACAGACTGACTCAATCTTTCAGACTTATTTATTTTGTGAAGTGGTGCTTAACTTTTTGCATGTTGCTTGTGGTGGTGGTTGGGGTAAACATTTGCTTTTCTACTTTTACAGTGTTGCATTGATGAACCATAGCTGTTGCCCAAATGTGATTGTGACTTACAAGGGAACCTTGGCTGAAGTCAGAGCTGTTAGAGAGATTGAGCCTGGAGAGGAGGTAAATGCAGTGTTTGAATGTGCTCTGTTCTCGTGCAGCCCGACGGGAATCATTCTGCCTCTCAAGGATCATTTCAGTTAGATGGCAATTTAAAAACAGGAAGGAAGGATCTTTCTCAGAGAAATGCAAGATGGTGCTTTGGAAAAATTATGGTGGCTCTGGAGGACTGAAGGTTTTTTTGGAGGCAGTACCCTATTTTTTGCTAAAAGATGGGAAGGGCACCTGCAGCAGTCACTGTGTATCTGCCAGCCCCTCTCTCCGTTTACCCATCTGTAAAATGAGGCTGAGTTTACTGATGTTTGGCTGGTGCTTTGAAATTCCAAGATCAAAGCAAATTATTACTGCTATAATAGTTCCCAGTATAATAGTAATGTGTTGAAATTGAAGCCAGAATAAACAAGGTAAATGGGTACAGATAAATCCTCTGACTTCTGTTTGGACAGAGCATCCACAAAACATGGGACTTGGTCATATCACCTCAGTGGCATTTGCTGGGAAATCACAGAAGAACAAATGTGTGGTTTTAGGTGGAGTGAAACTGAACAAAGAGGAATAAAAATCTGTGAAATTGAGGAAGGCTCTAGGTTTACTTTGAAACTTTCTCAGTCAAATAATGAATTTGGCAGGAAGTTTTAAACAGTAGAGCTGCACTTTATTTAAAAAAAAAAAAACACCCCCAAAAAAAGATGTTAAACAGAGCTGGAGAGGATGTTCAAATACCTGTAGGGAATGAAGATACTGAATATCCTCTCTGGGGATGGAGTTTGCATGGAATTTCAATGGCTCATTTGTAAATGTTAATTTATTTGGGCAAAGTTAATGCTGATAAGGTCAGATTTGATTCTTGTAACATCTACTGTTTTCTGAGCTGCAGTAGGAGCCTGGAAGAAAGGTAGAGAGGTTATTTTTTGGGTTTTTACCTGATCCCAGGGTGAATGACTCAGGTGAGCAACTTCTTTTGATACCATTTCCCAGTGATGATTTTTTGTCTGTGATGTTGGCACTCACTGCAAATGCATTGTGGTAACCAACAGGACTGATTCTGGCTTCAGAATTTTGTGGAATCCCAGACATTTTTAGCATTTTGGGGGAAGGTGTATCATTAGAGGTAGATGATGTTGCTCAACATCTCCTTCAGGTTGAATTCTGCCTTAGAATTTGCATCAGCTCTCCAGGACCTCACAGGTTTTGCACATTTGCTTTTCTGACACTTCAGAATTTCCAAAACGTGAGCTGTGCCTGTGTGTGGTCAATGTGCAGTCTCCCAGCCTGTGTCTCCATCTTCAGGCTCCCTGTAGCCATTGCAGGGCAACATTTTAAAGTTTTTTTTGCTGTGAATGTGGTTCTTGCATTCCATATGCTTTGAAAATTTGGAAGGGAGGAGTGTGAAGGAAAATGTGAGATTACACACACTTAAGAAGAAGGTGCGCTGTATGAAATTACATGTAATTTTACATTTGAAGAAAAGAGAAACTTATATAGAGTATAAAGACTGAGCAGTATAAAGACTGAGCAAAGCATTTCAAGTAACTGTAAATGAGGAAATGGAGCTAAAGCTGTTCCTTGGTGTGTGGAATGATCAACTGCACTGTGCACAGGATGTGTTTCTTGGGGGAGATCTCGTTTTAAAAGCACAGCATTAAAGCTAGTTGCAGGGGTTCTTTTCTGAAGACCATTGAAATAGAGGAAAACTTAAGAATAGTGTATGTGAAGGGCCTTTAAAATGTTCAAAAGCAGGTTTTCTTTGCTTTAAAATATTGCTGCTGAAGTAAATCTGATATTCATTCTCCTTGAACTGGAGCACTGGGCCTCTCTTCTTTTCAGAGATCTAAAGGTCTTGTCCTAAGTTTCTAAAGCTACCAGTGACTGCTGTTGCCCCAATTTTTGTGGGTTTTCAGTAAGAAAAAATTGAGATTCCAGCCTCCAAAAAACCAGGCCACTGTATTTTATCCTAGGCTGGATACCTGAAATCATTATTTTACTTCTGAAAAGGAAGCATCTCTTTGTAGTCTGACAGGAGCCTAAGATTTATGCTGTGATAGTTTCCTTATCCACACCTGAATCTTGCTGTCCTGGGTGCAAGCCAAGGTAATATTTGAGGGAAATTCCATAATGAATAGGAAAGGAACACTTCTCTGTCAGGTAGCATTCACAAGTGACAGCTCCTGATGCTGCCAAAGGGCTTGGAATGCAAGGCAGCAGGCAGGTGATGTGGCTGCAGGGGTCCAGAAGCTGCATGAATATGTCATGGTCATACTACATATATCAGAACAAGTTTAATAAATATGTTTAGTGATGCTGCTTCTCATTAACTGTTGGTTTGTTGGGGTTTTCTTACCATGTAGATTTTCAGCAGCTATATTGACCTGCTGTATCCCACAGAAGACAGAAATGACCGGTTAAGAGACTCCTATTTCTTTAGTTGTGATTGCAGGGAGTGCACTACAAAAGAAAAGGTAATGAATTAGTGTGACATGCACTTCTGACTGTCAAGGTACCTACCCATGTCCTTAGATGTAGTATCCTGTCTGGCTTAATTACATTTTTCAAAGTAGCATAATGGGAATGGGGGGGTGGTGGTTGTGTTTTTCTGTCTTTCTGTCCAGAATGCTTTCTGATACTCATTCTTTCCACTGTAATCATGACACACCAGGAAATTTCCTGGCAGAGGCCTATTTAAAGCTGAACTACAAAGCAAAGATGAAAACATTGTTAAAAGTAGTTAATTATACTGTGTCTATGCTACCTGGCCAAATGAATTTAGTTCAGAACTTTTTTGCCTTTTTTTTTTTTTGTTAATTTGATCCTTTATCACCAACTCCTAGCAAGTCAATCTTGCTTGGGGCATTTCCAGGATAGAGTGCTGCTGCATCTCCTGGGTGGGATATTTCAGCTAATTCTAGGGAGCATTATATGGCATGTCTGGATGGCTTGGAGATGCAGCAGAATCTGAGGAATGATCTTGTCTACAATATTCTCATATTGGTCTGCTCAGGGACAGACCCTTGGGATGTGCAGGCCAGAGTTATGTTCATTAAACGTGAACTGGTGCCCCTCAAAGGACAAAGGAAGATCCAGACAGTGTTCCTGACAACAAGGTGTTAGATGTTTCAAAGAAAAGCACTTCTCTCAGGAAAAGGGTACCCAAACCCAACAGATACTGGGACAGCTGTGCCTGTGCAATCATTTGGACCTCTTTCACTGAAGGTCCTACAAGAATTGAGCTCTGTGTAGCATTCCAGACAAGATCAGTGTGTCTGGCATAATCTATTCCTTAAATTCCAGATAATTTTCCCTCCCATTTTCACCAGGCTTCCTAAAGTGATCAGACAATCATTTCCTTCCCCTACATGGTGTCATTTTTTGTAATTTTTTTTTTCCAGATCGTACCCAGTATTGTTGCTTGAGGCCATTCTGTTGATACCATATAATTTGTGGTTTTCCCCACAGTTACCTTGATAATTTTACTACTGAGTTTAATGAAACCAGGATTTCATCTGTGATTTTCAACAATGTGCTACTGTGGGAGTCACCTGTCACTCAGCCTCCTTCAGTTTTGGAAAGAGTCCCTGTAGCTCTCTCTGCTGGCAGATTAAATAATAAAGAAAAAAATCTTGCAACAGTGTGAAGCTTAAACACAAAAAACTGTGTTTAGATTGTGACTGGCTCCTCATGAAATAATATGTTAGACAGAGAGGTAAGAGAAAGTGGAGCTGTCCAGCAGAAGTAACAAAATATATGGAAATGTGGTTTTGTCTATAGATCTGAAGGATCCTTTTCTGTATTTAAGATTATATAATTTTCCACAGAGATATTTAGTAGTCAGCCTGAGGTACTTAAGCTAGTATAGCCTTAAAACTAAGCCTAAATTTATTTTAAACCCCAATCTCTTGGGAGCAGTAAAATTTCTTATGTAAAACCACTTGCAACACAAAATTGAAAAGCTCTTCAATCTTCCAAAAGAAAGAGACTTCATGGAAGTAGAGAATGGCAAATGAACTGGAAGGCATGGGGATCCTAGGATTTATAGCCAAGACTTTAGAGTAAAATTGCAGGTGCACATTCTACCTTTGTTTTTTCATTCTTTGAAGAGCTTAAGTTCACATCTGTGTCTTTTTATTAGAGAAATTTTGTATAGCAGGTGCACTTTTATTTGTAGGGCTTGGAACCTGCCTTTGTAAGGTCCATTGTGTTTCCTTCAGGATAAAGAGAAACTGGAAATCTGCAAGCTGAATGATCCTCCGTCAGCAGAGACAGTAAAGGACATGATCAAATATGCCAGGAACGTAATTGAGGAATTCAGGCGAGCCAAACACTACAAATATATCCTTTGTCTTACCCTGGTGTGCCCCCTAAAAATCTTGCCTGCTGGGCTTCAGAAGTACATGAAGGAGAAATAATATGACCAGTAGAAATTAAACTTATTTCTGTCCTCTTTGTCTCTGAAGGCATTATCAGCTAATTGTATAATGAGAGGCCATCGAGTTATTGTGTTCCTTGACTTCTTCCTACCCCCTAGTGAATTACTGGAGATCTGTGAACTCAGTCTGGACAAGATGGGTGCAGTGTTTGAGGACAGTAATGTTTATATGTTACATATGATGTACCAGGCCATGGGTGTCTGTCTCTATGTGCAGGATTGGGAAGGTGCGCTGTGTTATGGACAAAAAATCATCAGACCCTACAGGTAAATATGAGAGACTGTTTTTTTTAATGCTCTAATTAATAATCTCAACAATTAAGACACGTTTGTGCAGAGATCACTTCTCTCAGTATATATGTTGTATAAACATTCTTCCCATGATACCACTACTCAAAAAGGGATATTTAAGTGCTGGGACAGGGTTTGTTACTACCAGAATGTGGTCTGCCATATATAGGAGGACTGACTTTGAAATCCTTGGTTTGGGTTCTCAAAATAATTTTGTGCCACCTTAGGTGCTGTGCTAATTCTGCTTAGCTGGATAAATGCCAGTTTCTAAAATACTGTCATTTTTTACTAAAGAAGGGCTTCGAACTTCACCTGCAGCCAGTATTTTGTACAAGGTAATGGAGGCAAAGCCTGTGCTGCTGTCAGCCTCCCACAGTGTCCCAGCCCTCTCTGTCTGCAGCAGCACAGTGGGCACGGCTGCAGGAGAGCAGAGCCGTGTCCCAGGGCTGGGCCGAGCAGCAGAGGGAGCTGGAGCCGAGCTCAGCTCCTGCGCTCAGAGTGCCCCATGGCCCTGGTCCTGCTGCTGTAGAGCTGGAGGTGGGGAGAGTGCCCAGGCTGAAGCCCTGCGTGGGGCAAGGCAGCACACAGCCTCTGCAGGAGATATGATACTGTTTCTGGTCAAATTCTGGTTTTGCAGTAGTGAGCCTGTTGGTGAGAACCAGGCAGTTACGCTGGCTGTGTCTGGTCCTGCCGTGAATCTCCCAGATTCTCATCTTGAAACTTTCTTGCCAGCTGCGGGGAGTGCAAGAAAAACTCTCCCTTTGGAACAGATGCCAACATAAAGTCACAGATCACTTGGCAGTGAGCAGTGATACAAAGAAGAAGCCAACATTCCCTCCCTGGGGGCTCAGTACTATTTATCTTCCCTGGGACTTGCCCAGCTCCTCTGGCGCTGAGCCTGGCATTCCAGGTCAGCTCTGCCTGCTCAGTGTGTGTGAGCACAGACTGCCATGTGTGCCCTGCACTCTGCAGAGGGCCCCTCGCTTTCCAGCCCACCAACCATTGTGGAACACACAGAGCCACTGCTGCGGGTGCAGGGTGGCTCCAAAAACTCATAACAATGCAGGCTCTCTCTGTAGCTGGCTAGATTAAAACTAGTGGCACAAAGTCATTGCCATCTGACAGCTGTTCAGAGGCATATGGTAGTTTCAGTCCAATTCCCAGCTGACAGGCGTCCCCATCCCAGACACAATTGGCACAAGCTCTTGGCAGTCACGGCAGAGGGGATGAGCGCTGAATGGGCAGGGGCACCGAGAGGCAGCTTCTTGCCCCATGAGAGGGAGACAGAACTGGGAAAATGCTGTGAAACTGCCAAAGTTGATGAAGCTGAATTTCTTTCTCTCTTGCAGTAAACATTATCCTTCCTACTCGCTGAATGTTGCCTCTATGTGGCTGAAATTAGGGAGACTGTACATGGCGCTGAAGAACCGGACAGCCGGAGTTAAAGCCCTGAAGAGGGTATTTATTGCCTGGTTTCTCCATTCATAACACCAGTTCAGCCGTGGGGTCATTGAAACACTGGGTGCTTCTCTGTCAGTGAGCCTGGCGTGGATGCACCATGTATTAATACATTTGGTCACGGGATTTTTGGCTCAGATTTGGTTTTTCTAGAGATGGAGGATAGGTCTGCTCTTGGGTGCCTTTTCACAGTGGTCTCATACTGCAGCAGCTGGAGTGAGAATTATGCTTAAACATTTGCTCCGAGTTCTTCACTGAGCTAGAGCTGCACTAGTGTAAATGGAGCAGAACCCTATCTTCCCCTCATTTGCTGGGTAAGGATAGGAAAAATGCTTGGCTCTTATAAAAGGCACATAGTGTTTCATTGAAGTCTGTGATTTCTATATCCAACTTTAACTAGGCATGCTTTTGATGGTTGTTTTTTCTGGAACCAATTGATTTTTACATAGCTGAAAGAAATTCAATGCATCTGGTAATGCTGAAATTGGCAAATATAGCATTCTGGTTTAATGTTTTTCTTCACCCCTTTTTATTAGTCTGTGCCTTGTTCTCTAGTTTTTTTATTCTGCTATTTTTTATTAGTCTATACTATGTTTCTTGACTGTTTTCCCCTATTGTTGTTGGACAGCAATTTATTTTAGTTTCTTAAGCATCAGTGACTACTGTAGCATATAATGACTCAGTGTGGAATGTCACAACGTATTTATTTCTTCTTGCTTTTTAGATGCTGGCAAGTTTTAGCCAGCGAATAACAACACCAAACAACTATGGTGAAAAATGCCAGAAGAATATATGCTCTAAAATTTAACTGTTACCAAGTTTGAAATTAGCATATGTTTTTCTTCACTGTAGTGTTAAACCCTTGAGTAGAAATGGGAATTGTGCCAGTAGGAGCATGGGATGGGGGGTAGGGAACTGTGAGGTAAATTTGTTGGCATAGTTAGTTTCCTAACACAAACATTTTCTAATGACTCACTTCCAAAAGCTGTCTACAGGAACTGCCCAAAGTTATCCCAGCCTCTGATGTTTGGGATTTAGTGGAAAAGCAAACCCATTGTTCTCTGTCAGTTTGTGAGCAGCACATACAGAAGGTCCTCCTTTCTTTTTTGGGCCTGAGGAGGGGTGGAGTCATTTCTCGCTGCTGAGGTGGAACCAAAAGCCTTGCTGTACTGACTTAACAAATACAAGAGCATAAAAGTTTCCCAAGGATGAAATGACCAATGCTCAGAGGGCCAGGATACTGCAATTCCCTGCTCTGTCTTAGCTCTCAGTTTTTAACCATTCTCAGACTTAGAGTGAACTTTCTTCTCAGTTCTGTGTAGTGTTGCCTTTTATCACTTCTTTTCTCAAGTGGAAATCTTGCCCTGGCACACACTCCAGGGCAGGAAAGGTGCCAGTCAGGGGTTTGGCTGCCAGCAACATTCCCTCTCGGGCCTGGAGCAGGCTGCAGGTGAAACACCAGGGAGCTGGGCACAGCAGCGTCTGTCCGAATCTTACAGGATCTCACTTCTGCCTAAGAAGTTGCTTCCTTCCTAAAGCATTGGCAGCCCCTGGAAGGAGCAGAGGGTTTATAGATTCAAGTCTGAAATGCCTCAGCATTACTCCTGCACTAGGCCTGCATGTCTGTGACAGCTCAAGGATAAATTGGTAGGAGCAGAGCTCACTCTGATACTGGCTAAGTCCTCTGCTGGAATATTACCCCACTGCACTTGCAGTTTTCTGTCCTGGAGCTGGTTGCATTCAAAGTAGTTTTGTCAGGAATATAATTTTGAAAGGTGCTTTGGGCTCCTTTAAGATCAAAGATGTATTCTCTGAATATAAAACCTTTATTACTTAGTTTTGAATTTCATTTTATTTCCTACTGGGTTTATGACTACAAGGGGACAAAAAGTAGCTAGAGGTGTCAGACTGCTTCAAACCTCTAAAGAGAGTATTTATAGCCTGGTGTTATATATGAATCAATTGTGTGAATATTTTTTTTTTCTTTTCATAGGCAATTGCTATCATGGAAGTAGCACATGGGAAAGATCATCCATACATTTCAGAGATCAAAAAGGAATTAGAGGACCACTGAGCCTTTGAATCTATGCAATCCTTCAAACCTTTATTTAAAAAGCCTTGTTATGGAAACCTTCAGGAGCGCTTTGAAAAGCGTTAGAGTATGAACACAGTTCTGTCCTATAATTGGAATGACAAACACACGTAGGCTCAGCTTCCACACATCTAAATTGCCTTTTTTTTTTTGTAAGGAAGCATCCATGGTTTCTTAAAAGTTATGCCTTTTGATGGCTCATGTGCAGAAATGGCCATCTTTTTCTTTAGAGGTGTTGGTGTGGATCTTACTTCTGTAAAGTAAATAAAGTGGTCTTGGCCCCTCTTGATTGCACTTGTACACTTAAATGAATGGAATAATTTTGTGATATGTACTTTTGCCCAAATAGTTTTGCTTAATCTGAAAAATTAGCAAAATCTCTACATTTCTGTTGTGGTTTGGTACCCATTTCCTTTTTGCTTGCATCATTTTTATTTGCAGTGGCTTAACTGAGAGAGGGGGGAAATGGGGTGATGAATTATGTACATTTTACAGCAATGCCACCAATGTTCCCTCAACCAGTTAATCTGCAGGTTCATCACTGCTCCTGGCAGATGAGGATTCATCACAGAAAAGACCTAGAGCTCAATTTGTCTTGTACAGAAAATACTGACACCTATGTCAGAGCTTGAAGGCTTGCACAAGACATGAACTATGCAACTTCTGGCTTTTTAGACTCCTTTACAAGTTAAAGTGAGTTATTGCAGAGGAGGGCTCATATTTCCTTACAGCCATACCTTCACCTCCAGTGGATTACAACCATTGTAAATAATATGCTAGCAGTTATATTTAAGAGAGGGACAGAAACACTTTCTGAGGAGAAAGTCCAGGACTTAGCTTTCTCTACCCATATACAAAACAAGAGAGGTTTTGGGGTTTTTTTTTCCCTCCATTTAGATCACTGGCAAGAGTGTGCTTTTTAAGGATGGGGAAAAAAAGAATGTAGATATAAACTTCTAGCATCAAAATTGAAATATGGTGCACAATAAAATTACCTGCCTCTTTACTGTTTTCACAGTTTACAGAGTATGATGAGAAAGAACACATCACTCTTAAGAACTTCATTGTATTTTCTTTCTTGTAAGCACTGCTCTGAAAATAAAACTGCTAGAACAAGGGTTTGTCAGCTCATTTTGCTGATATCTTTCATTGCTCTCCAGCCAGTAGTTGTTGCTGGAGTATATAAAACTGCACCAGATCTACAATTCCAGAAAGCCAAAGCCATTTAACTGCAGCCAAGCCTTGGAAGAAGGGCACTAGCTGACTGTTTTATCCTAACACTGTCTTGTCAAATAAACTCTTGTCCTGGGAAATAATACCTTTACTTCAGCAAGTCTGTCCAGCAACCACACCACACTTCAACACCAAAGAATTGGATTAGCTGAACATGGGGCACAAGTGGGAGCCTTGCCCCTGTAAACTTGGATTACTGTTTAGAGAAGGGTATTCAGAGCTCACTGGCTCTGGCTGTGCCTATCAGTTTTAACATGGGAAACCAACTCAAGCAGTGTAGGTGCAAATACAAAACCGTTAAGCTGATATAGAAAAGAACACAAACATTGTTTTCCTTGAAAAAAAAAGGTTTATTGTATACTGTGAATATAAGGGACAGCCTTACCAAAAAAACCTTAGTGACTGAAGACATTCTCACATTTGCAAAAGCATATAAGAAACTATTTACACAAAGGCAGTGAAAGGGGTAAAAAAAAGTTATTGCAGTCAATTAATGCTGATAGAACTTTTTATTATAAAAAGAGAAAGAAAAGAAACAGTGCAAAAATACTGTCAAAAGTAATCAGTTCTATACACAAGATAAAACTGACAAGCATAAGCTTATGTACTGATATGAATAATACATTAGAATATAAAATAGCATGCATAGATTTTTTTAAAGGCTTTCAATAGCATAGAATAATTCTGCCATTCAGCCCTAACAGGAGGGGTTGGGGGCAGGAAGGGCACATAACTGATGTCTCATTTTTCTACAAAATGTGTACATACAATGAGTTGGTTAGATTCAGATCACTGTTTTGTGCTAAACTGTCAGGTACAGAATTACAGAACAAATAAAACCGGGAGCATCACAATACTGTAGTAAAACAGGACAGTAAAATCCAGTGACAGAAAACTTAAACATGTTATCTCATTTACCACATTCCACACAATAACATATGGGAATATTACAGTCATCTGCATGTGTAAACTTTTTCCTTTGTAAAATAACCAAAGAAAGGTACTTTACTAGTGAGGAAAATGTATTATCCATATGGAGCAACCTCAACAGGATGAACATCCTATTACCAATGTTTCTGGCACTACAAATTTGCTTTCTTTTAAAGACCAAGCAGAAGCAAGAAAATACTTTTATTTAACATACACAAAAAGAAAGTTCTTATACATTACATCTCTAAGTTATGGAACTTACCAGCACAGGAAATTGTGAAGGCCAGAGGAATAAATGGCTTCTAAAGAGAAGGTAATGTGATTCATAGAAGATGGATCCATCAGGAGGTACTACATACAGTGAGCAGGATACAGCTTTGGCCTCAGGAAGCCCCTAAAGGACTGGCTGCCAGGTGCACCAGAGGGGCTGAGCACCCTTTTCTAGACACATCACCTTTTCTTCCTCAACTACCAGCCACTGTCTAAGTCAGGGGACATGGAAACAGTTTGTGGGAAGCATTCCTCTTTTCTGCCTCCCTGCCTAATCAAGGAACACTACCCCTGAGATACCTGGAACTGACTGTCCAACCACTGAGAATCAGTGGCAGTCCTTCCCTTGCTGTTATATAGTGCTGGAATTCTCCAGTGGAAGCTCCTATTTTCAGTGATTTCCAGTTCACTCTCCAAAGCCAAAGTCCTGTTGTTAAAGCACGTGGAAAAGTCTTGGTGAGGGTGCACAGAAAGCACAGGCAACAAAACTTCAAAGAAATGCCAGCTAAAAAACAACTGAGAGAAACCAATGGAACTGTAATCTAAGATTACACCAAAAACACTGACTAAATTTATTTAATTTAAATATTTATATAAACACTGCTATTTTTTGACCTGTGCACTGTTTTGTTTCATAATCTAACAATAGTTTTTTTATGGTTAATACCTCCATCTTGTTTTGCCCCACAGCCATCTGTTCCCTTCCTCAAATCCCCAATCCCTGAAAGCAGCTGCATGTATAACGCCCTTCTCTCTAAAGACTTGGATGGCATCTATAGCTCCCTTAGCACCAGATCCACAAGAAAACCACTCCAGGAGGCTAAGAGTGAGCTGGGGACAATTGCTTTTTGGGTTCTAGACTTGCAGCCTTTCTCTTACTGGCATCAAAACCTATCCCAAACTCTATATGCCTTCAAGTATACATCAGCAGCTTTATATACGTTTTGTAGAAGGGTGGTCAACGGCTGTTTTCATGCAGTCCTTCCTCTCATGGCCAGCTCAGGAATTTGCTCCTGCAATGCGATGCAGGCCTTTATTACCTGCAGTGGCTGCCACCGTAGCATTTTTTCATCCACTAAGACAAGCAGCAAAATTTAACTCAGACCTCCCTCAGTGATGCATGAGAGCAGCTAGAGCAGAGATCAGCCTGAAGATTCCACTTTCTCAGCACACAGACCACAACTGTTAGCGAGGCTGACAACAGCTAATTCAGTCATCATCTCCTCCCAGGAGACCAGTGGGAAGTCAGCTGTTGGAAATGCAGCATTGGCAGTTAGCTCTGCTGAATTTTCCCTACAGATTTCTGTGCTATATCCAAGTACAAGATTTCCCATCAACATTTCTTTTAGAGCTCCTTGTGGACTACATATAGCAGGTATTGGATCAAAATATAATGTCCTGGCTGACAATGACAAGCACTATTGAAGCACTCAGGTTGGAGAAGAATGAGTAAGTCTGTGTTTTGCCAGTTGCATTTCTGTTTGTTTACAACAAAGTAATTTTAAAATCCCCAGCTTTTGAAATCATGCAAATTAATAATATTTGTAGCTGAAGCGGCTGATTTAAATAAGTGCACTTCAATATACTTCAAGGACTGTGCTGGCAATAGGTTGAGTAAGCTTTCAGAGATGTGTCTTTTGCCAGCTAAAATTAGTTTAGGGAACTTCTGATAAGGCTGAGCATTTAGGATCCCTGTATGCCTGTACAGGAAAATGATTGTGGGAACAAGCTTCATCTTTCCTCAGGTAGTCAAGGACAAGAGGTGCCTAAACAAGCCTTTGTAAGACCTGAAACAAGTAGGACCTGAGCAGGTGATGTCCACCATCCTCCAGTGTGACTGATGGAGGACAGAAACAGGATCCCCACAGCACTGAGCAGCATCACAGCTCAGCTGTCATCTCTCCCATCCCTGCTTAAACAATGGGAAGCATGAAATGCTCCGACCATAACTTCAACCAAAAAGCTGATGCCAGCACCAGCTGGTACAGTTGGTAAGAGTTTAAATTAAAAAGGCAAAGGTTGTTAAATATAGATGAAGAGTGTACTAAAAGAAAAACAGACACAACGGATGCCCAAGCCAGACTTTCTCATCTGCTGCAAGTTCTCTCTTGGAAAGCATCAGGGAGTGTAGGCTGAGCATGCCAGACTGCAAGGTGGGTGCCCTGGGAGAAGACTGCTTGTGTCAAAATTCTGTTCATCGATGAATCACTGTGAGATTTTCAATCCAGACTTTACTCCAAATGGATGAAACTGGTCTCAAACTACTGTTATGCTTCGATATTAAAAAACATGCAACACAACAAACGGCCAAACACGCAACTCCAAATTGCCCTTTTCTCCTCAAGGGTTCTGCTGTTTAAAAGTCTGTGGGACAGAAACTAAACAGCACTGTTGCTTTAAGGCCCACCTGCTATGACTAAGAAAATTGGATGCAAAATGCATTTTCCTGTCACTCCCTAAAGGTTAGGAAATACTGCCCAAGCAGTTTTGGCCTGATAAAACTACAACAGGTTCAAAGTGAGAAGGTTCATTTTTTCCCTTACAAAACTTGTACCACATTTCAACCATAAAACATCAGCATGCTGAGGGCTGCTTGTAAGCTGGGGTGGAAAAGAACCTCTGAAGACATGCACCAGCCCAATTCACTTATGATATTAACAGATCTAGTCAAGATAAAATCTAGCAGGGAAAAATACATTGAAGTCAGATGAAAGGAAAAGTTTAAAATTACCATTCTTTGACAATGAAAAGGAAAAAGTGACTCACATTGGCCTCTATCTACCTTACCAGCCACATTAGGAGTTAATTGGAAATGACTGCTTACCACATGGCCACTTATTTGGCTCATTAATAGGC